GTGGCGTTACGGGGGGGCGTGCTGCTTCTGCTTCCTCCTCGGCTTCGCTCGCCCGCCCGCGCCGCCGCTCTTACACGCCGGCGTCTCCTTCCGACCCATTAGGCGAATAATTCTGGCCCACTCGGACAAGAAAAGCTCGTACTGCCGGATGACACCCCAATCACGCACCAGCGTCTCCGTCAAGTCGGGGTTGGGGGGCCAATGCTTGGTGAGGATGCCGACGGACACCCACTCCGGGGCCGGTAGACGCACGTTGTGTATCGCCGCTTCCGTCTCGCACAACAGCATTTTGTGCCACATGGTGATATTGGACAACAGAGGGTCCCGAATCCGGTAAATTTCATCTTTTCTTCCTATCTGGCTTTCGCCGTGCGGCTTCATCGCTTCGAACGTGACGGAAAAATTCTGGAGGGATTTATGAAACACTGGAAGTACTTCTGCAATCTGCAATAAAGAGAGACTTGGTCAGATTCACGTTAAGTTCTTGCAATGACGCAGGAAAATAATGAATAACTTTTAGAAGCTATGAGACACATTTTTATAAATATTTACCTTGTTGCTGCTACACTGGTAATGCTTTTTGAACCAAACAAGTTGTTTGCGGGGCAACCAATCATATTTCAGCTCTCCAAGTTTGCTGAACTGCAAAGAAAAGTCGTACATTATAATAGATTCATAAGCCTTCTTCCCATACGTATGACATTACAGATTTATTGATGTAATTGAAACATTTTCTCTAGTAACAATCTCGGGTGGCTGGACGTTTTGTTTTAAGAACATGGGCGTTCTACGAAGGGGAAGCCAGGGGACTTCCCGAAATATTTTTGTCAGTACATACATAGAAAACAGTTTTTTAATTCTGAATTTAATTTAACTTAATTGTGGGTCCAATGTGCAACAGTTTGTGAAATTGGGAAGAGGAAATAACGAAATGTGATGGTCTGGTGGCGTTTATTGAAAGGCATGCGAATTTCGCCAAGAGCGCTCAACTTTGAACTTACGTTTCCGTACAGCTGCCGGAGGGCGGGTTGACTCTTCTTCATGTGTTGCAGCGACACGGCCAGCTGGTTGTGCACGCGCCGCATCGCCTTGGGCGCCGGGTGGCGCACGGGCTCCCCCGGCACCAGCACCGTGCCCGGCCGCGTGGGGCTCTTCTCTCCGCACGGCCACTGCCACACTGGCCGCGGCTCGGCGGCAGCGGCGGCGGCGGCGGCGGCGGCAGCGGCGGCGGACCCGCCTATCGGCACGGCCGCGCACACGCAGTCGTGCAGCAGCATAGAGCCCGCGACCAGCAGCGCCAGGCGCAGCGCAGCGGCACAATCTGCAACCAACAAGAGCCGGCGTTCACTCTCTGCTTGGGTCCGAACCACGCTCTCCTCTCGTCGCACCCCGCTCCCCGTTGCTTCTCCGTGGCGCTCCGCACACGTCCCTCTCCCGCGCTCCCTTCCCACTCCTCCGGGCCCGCCACTTTCAAAGGCTGCGCGCAAAGACGGCTCCCCACGCCGACTCTCACTGCGAGATTTCACGTCACAAATCAATATTGAAGAATCCAAAATGCACAAGGCGCGGTCCAATCTGACATGCCACTTTTTGCTATTAGTGCAAAGTATAAAACACTAAAATGTGCGTTTAATAGCAAGATGCAACACGTTTATTATATTACAAAATGCATTCACACACAGTGCACAAAACTCAGAAAATACTGTGCGTGTATGTGACAACAGCACTAGAACACTCCACTCTTACAATGAATATTTTTCAAAATGAACATTTCACATACGAAAAGTCCAAAGCAAATCGAAGAAAAACTCTCGTCAGACATTCGAAGTCAACATTTAAACTTGATACGCACATGTACCCTACAATAAATTAATAATAAAAAAGTGAAATCTATTCAAATTTAATTTTAGATAATACGTTTGTGATTTTCTAAAAAGTTTCGACTACGTGGTTTAGGCGTGTAGAGACGTGCCAAATTTTCCGCATACGCCTCGCCATCGATTAGAGGAAACAAAACGTATAAACGATACTCTCTTCAACACAAACCACAAGAGCGACAAAATGAAATGGAAATCACGCGATATTCACATAGAACCCAAAAAGTCAGTACTAAATTGGCATTGAAATCTTCAAAAACACACGTAAGCTTGTTATGAGCCTACCTGGCATCATGGCTGAATAGTGAAGAGAAGATGGCAATACGTAGTGTAGGACACACGGCAATCCAGAAGCCGGCCACCTCCTCTCCCGACTCGTCTCTCATTCAATCTGCCGGCTGTTTGAGTTTCGCTCCTTAGTTCACAACAATATATATGTCGGGGAATCCATCCCCTCCCCGGTTTCTGCTGAAACCACGTCATACTACACGTCATCACTACGCGATGCCGCTCCTCCTTAAAAAGTTCATTCATTAGTCGGGCGCCTGCCGCCGGGAGGGAAGGCTGGAAGCATTTCGCCGTACCGACTGGCACCGGTGATAGGCCACTATACTATGTACGTTTGATAAGGAGAATGCGGTTAATTTCCACATATGACGCAAATCATTCGCGTTGCGCGAAACCGGGCAATGTGTCCAGCAGTCCTCACTATTACAAAGTACGAAGCTTCAGTACAAAATATGTAAGTATTTTATATCATACAATCGGTTTTCGGGAATCGTGAAAATTCAGATTTCCCCACATTTTTACTAAATCCATTGAAATGTGAAACGAAATTCGTTCAAAAATAAGAAAAAAACATGGGCAGATGTCATATATATCTTTTGACGTTCGATGCTGGTTTTTGCCAGAGGAAGTTTGTAGTAACGTTACTGACGTGACTAGTAATGCTTATTATTGTCCGGGTAGAGCATTGCGACGTCTCTGGGACATGAAGTTCGAATTGTTGAGCCAGCGCGCCAGCCCGGCCCCCCTGCGCCTCCTACGTCGCGGCCGCCCCGCCCCGCCCCTCGCAGATGGATGTGTCATGACGTGCCAGTCTGCGGTGTGCTTTTTCAACTTTGCCAACGGTTCATCTTTCTCCCAAGTTGAGTAGAAAAATCCATATGTTCGACAAGTCTCGTAATGACTGTGAATTTATCTAGTACTTCTCTTTAATTATTATTATTATATACGGACATAAACAAATTTTACTTCCCGTAGATAGATATGTGTCTCTGACAGTAATGAACTCATTTGTCGTCTCGTAATAGCGAATAAATTGCAATCATGTGCTTGAAATGAGGCGTGTAATATTTCGAAAGAGCTTCCTGTTGCAATGAGTGTGCACTCAAAATATATACCTTACTATATCCAGTAAAGCGCGACACTTAAACTAGCGGATGTGCAGTTCATGCTCGGAACCTTCGATAAGTGGATAGTGGTGCAATATGCTAGGGAAGAGCCTAACAGTCCACGCCGGCAGTCTGGAAGTGAATCACGGTCCAGTGCAGACTCACAGGCGTAACCGCAGCGGTCGCTCCGCCTTCCTCTCTCCTCCTCGCCCCGCCCATGCGGCCCCCGCCGCCCCCGTCGCCCGCGCCCAGTCGATCGGCGCGGCGCCTGTCTCGAAGGCGCCAATGGAACGGGCTGCCCATCGCGTCTACTCGGAGCGTTGCAACACCCGCCCGCTGACTCACGCGACAGCGCCGCCAGGACTCCCAAAACTCTTCTCGTCCACAAACAATCCATCCGCGCTGGTTACCTGGCGAAAGACAAGAGATGCCACGAGGTCTGCGAAACGGACGTCCGCGTCCTAAGCTTGTGGAAGTCTTCATTTCACGTTATGTACTCGTATACATATCAATTTTATTAATTGGTTCTGTTTGTCTCCTCAATTAAGGAAACAGTTATGAATAATATACACGTAATAAAATTATAAAATTCAATTGTTTACCGATCAATTGGTTTATTCAACATAGATTTTCACGTAAAGAACATATTTGAAAATGCTCACATCAATGTGTCTATTTACAAAACCATATATAGTATAATACAAGGTTACGGATTGGTGTTCAGTTCATTCTATCGAGTACTCCTCTGTGAAGATTTTTTTGTGCTCTCTTCTAGGTCTTTCAACAGTTTATCTGCTGTATTGAACTTATTATATCTTGATAATATTGCAATCAATGTTATACTTTTCAACGGAATTGTGCTGTTTATGAAGTGCATTAAAATCCACTTAATGAAACGAATATTAGAGAAGATGTAAGTAAATAAATAATGTGACTTCCGAGATATTGTGAACCTGTTTATCGTACTGTACTATCGGATCAACATTCATAAGGGTTTTGATAGTCAGTTCATCAATTGTTGGAGATACAATATTTTAATTCTTAACAACTTCTTTCTGAAGTTAAAAATTTAGTTTACACTCTTAGAGATGATTATGAATAATTATAGTACCACTATGAACTAAGAACTATGTTCCATATCTGCAAGAGTTTCATCCCATTCATTTTCTACCACTGTTTGCAATTCTCAACAATTTCTCATCTCCTCATAATCTTAAAATTATCCATAAACATTTGAAGGTCTTTCTCTCCCCACGTTATTTGACTTGTTGGTGTACAATTTGCGAAATGGTTTACCACGTATAACATTTGCAGCGCTAAAATGCAAATTTGCTCTTATAATTTATCTCTACTTACATAAGAATCAACAATAATTCAGAACGTGATATAGGTACTATAAAAACCAAGCAAAACAGATTTGTCACAACAATAATTTAAATATTATTATTATTGTTGTTAGTATGAACCATGTCACAATATAAAATGGATCAGCTCAGGGAATATTAGATACGTACGCCATAACGGAAATCTTGCCACGAATTTTCTTATCGTGTTTGATATGACGTAGGGATCGCGTCAGATCTCGACGCTACTTCCAATAGGTGCTAGGATGTGCGTAGGTCAGCCGTATGTGACATTCTTGGTAAACGTTGCAAAAACGGCATTTGTTTACTAGGTGTAAACAAATCGAGAGATCCTGTTCAACCGACTACGTGTGAGGCGCACCCGTTCTCACTCAGCTGGGAGTTTTTTCTCGTCGCCGGCAATAGCAAGAGACGGCGGCGGCGGCGGAGGCGGGAGACAGTGGGGGAAAGGCGAGGCGGGGTAGCCCGCTGACGATGCCGTTCTTGTAGCGTGCGTTGACGTAGGTCTTTAGCATAACATTTCGCTCGTCAGATACATACAACTGAAGAATCGCAAGTTGCAACAGCCACAGCAGCTTGCTAGGTGCACTTCCGATTTTATCTTTTTCCATTTCCTCATTTACCTCATATTTTAATTAATCCATATTTTAATTAATCGGAACTCGGGCTGTATTTTGTCAGGTCTGTATTTTGCAGGTCAGCAGTCACGTTGGACTGCAAGTCTTCACGTAGCAAAACGTGGATGAAGGCAAAATGCATAGGAGTGATAAATATTTTAATGAGGAATTAATAACAACGGGAAATCAATCTTTTAACTATTGTGTATGGAGAAGTTTCAAAGTCTATATTAGTTATTAGTTTGTTATGGAACAAAAAAATTAAAAATTTAAAAAAGCATACCAAACGATTTAGAACATTTATGTTTCCTGAATGAAGGCATTCACTTTATTCGAAACCCATCTCTTCCTACGAAAAATCCCTCCTTTCCCTTTCTGTATTCTATGCAATGCATGTAAAGATACTGGTCACTTCGGACTTGTATTCTATAGTTCCCATTGTAGTGATCAAACCCAAACGCAACTAGAGATGTTCAAAGAGCACATATTTTGTCGTATTATTGATAATACTTTCGTATTATTATTGTATTGCACTTTTTATCCTATTAACATTACATATTTAACTTGAAGAATAGAATCTGTAAAGGTGGTTCAGGACATCAACTGATGTCACTGCAGTACCTCTGACCAAGAAGTCCTAGTTTCGAGTCCAGGCGGTGGCATGTTTTCTTGACACTCGCTACATAGCTAGGTCGAATTCAGCCGCCATCTGGAGAAAAATAAATTGACTAGTTACTATAATCGGTATTTATCCGATCAATACCATCAATGCCATAGCAGTATCCTAACAAACAGGCCACGCGCCTGGTTGAGACTGGGAGATTCCCGGTTGAGGAAAATACCCTCAAACCGATGAAGGTCGGCGCCGGATCTCGCAATCCAGTGGGAGATGCCCATACGATAAGAACATGCACTACGCTTACGGGAATAATGAGCTTAGTAGTTTATGGGCTCGGGAGCAATAATCAGTCGGTCAATCAATCAATCATTCGAACAAATAAAACGATATGACAAAAGTTCGCAGAAATCACTAATATTTTTAAAAGATCGGTACAGCAACAGGACGTCTCTCTCTCGCATGATTTGTAACGGTTTCGTAAATATTATAATATAACATGAACCCGAAAATGATTGCCCACGATGGGATTCGAACTCTGATACTTTGCAAACATTTAACATAATCACTATACCATCACTAAAGTCGGTGCAGTAACCTTTCCGACACTCTCAAGAGAGAAACTAAACTCTGGTTCTCCCCTTCAGGGGCAGATTCAACGAAGCTATATTCCTCGCCCCGCCTGGCATTCCATCGCCTGCTTATCTAGGCTGTTGGGAGGGGATCCCCACTCCAGTATTTCCCCGCTGTCTAGTTCTCCAGTATCTCTACGTATCTGCAACCCGCTGAGGTGTCTCAATCCTTCCCAGTTAGTTATTTGGTTAACGCCCTGAAGCCGCCGTACTCTTTGAAGCCGTAGCGGAATGATAGCCAATGATAGGATGTGGTAGGGCATTATTGATTGAGCATACCGCTGGAAGTAGGAAATTGGGGCATATTGGCAGGGGAAACGGGAGTACCCCGAGAAAACTTGTGAACCCACCTTTTCCACCGGACCTTTGGAACCGCGTTGGATACAACCCATCCACCAGTGGTGGAAGGCGTGCAGTCTGATCACTACGCCATGGGTCTCCCCAAAAGTTGCCACTATTTCTGTTAAAATCATATTTTTAAAAACTTTTATAATAATTTTTTAAATATTTAATTCGAAAGAAGGCATTTCATTTAGTTTAATATTGTAGTTGTAGAAGGACGCCAAAAAATCTTAATTTTTGAAATCTTCGGGAAGTCAGAGAATTGAATGAAATTCGGATCTCTCCAACTGTTAAGCGTTTTTACTCTATTCAAAAAAGTATAACTCAAACTATTTTTATGAAAATTTTGGAAATGTCCTTGAGGCTTTACGAAAAGAACCCCAACAATTATAGTATCTACATACAATTCAATGGGCTTTGA